TAATAAACGATGTTTTTGTAAAAGAATAAATAAATTAATACATTCTTTTTTTTTTAAATTTAATGACATTCTATTACAAAGATAAATTGAATACCAATTTTCCTAGCTGTTTGTTGTGAAGAGAATGGATTGATACATGGAGTATACACATAATTATTTTTAAACCCTTGATGAATACTACAAGTACCATCTGAAAGAATCCAAAAAGCAGAAAATACAGTTAAAATAAAAGAAGATGCATTTTCATAATATAATGTTAAAGATTTAGTATTATTTTTTTTTCTACGAATAATTTGTTGAGTATTATTGTTATAAGTAAATAAGAAAAATTCTTTTGTTGTTTCAAGGTTAATATTTCCTTTCTTCTTAAATGGAGGAATCACTTCTTCATTGTAAATTCCAAAAATATCAAAATCATTAGTAACTATAATAACTAAAATTCTACTATGCCCAATAATTTTAGAGTTAAAAGTACGATTATCAAGAAGATCAAAACGACTATCAAATAATAGGTTATATTTTCTAATGTCAATAATATTAGAAACCATTTCTACTGCTGGAGAAACTGGTTCAAATCTTTCACTTAACTCTTCTTCAATCTCTTCTTCTTCTTCATATCTTGGAGAATGTTTAGGTGTAAGTATTTTTGTTATTTTTGGAGTTATTGATTTATGAGAAAATATCCCTGTAGAACAAAAAGGTTTTTTATTGAGTCTTGGGGTACGTCCACCATTACTACTAACTGAATAGGACCTCTTACATTTTGGTGACAATGATGGACTTTCTAATTCTTCAAAGGGAGAAGAAGAATTAGATTCAAAATAGTCAAGTGCAACTCCTGTTTTTAAATATTTTTTTTCATTTGGACTGTATGAACATTTTATTGGAGGAATCCCTGATCTTCTGTTGATCTTTTTTGGCTTCGGAACAATAACAGTTTCTTTTTCTTTATCAGCTTCAGTTATAGTTAATTTAAATGAAGAATCAACATGCTTCCAAGTACCAAGACTTCCTGATCTAGAGTGATGATTCTTAACATACCCTTGTTGATTTCCCATTGTCTGAGTTTTAGTTTAGTTATCCAAAAAAAAAAGATCTTCCTATCAATAAAAATTATTGCTTAATGAATTTAAAAAAATATTTTGAAATAGAATGTAGTAGAAAAAAGGATAATAATTTAATATTTTTTTTCCTTATAAAATTTTTAATAACAAAAAATAATAATTTAACGAAAAACTTAAATCAAAAATAGAAAACCAGTTATATACATTCAACTGCTAGAAGAGTAGAAATATGGCTTACTTTATTTATCATCCTTCCTAACATTGGATTCAACATTGGAGATTTTACAAAGTAATGATTTTTTAATGATGGATGAATATGAACAGTCCTATCTGTTAATATCCAAAACGCAGAAGCAACAGTAAGAACAAAATTTGATTCACATTGAGGATGAATAGTTAATACGTCTTCCATTTTACTTTTTTTTGTCATTTTCTCTATTGTTGTATAATTGTGTGTAAAAAGAAAGAACCCTTCTTTACAACTTGATTTTTGAATACAGTAACTTTGAGCTGGACATATTACATCAGGATGATAACATCCAAATATAGAACCATCTTCTGTAATAACAATAACTAAGACATTAGAACAACAACATACTTTTGAATTAAAATCATGTGCTGTCAGTCCATCAGTTGATGAATTATAAAGAATATTAAATTGATTTGAATTGCACCAATTCTCTAAATCAGAAAGAATTAAACTTTTATTATCTAATTTAGAAATTTCAAAAGCAGCAGATTTTACTTTTCTTATTGGACAACAATTTCTTGGAGATCTTTGAAGTGTTAAAAATCCTTTTTTACGCTTTGTACATGCCATATAATGATCAGTGTATTGAATTTGATAAGATAGAGAATTGGAATTTCTTTCTTCTTCTTCTTCTTCTTCTGAATCTTCAAATATACAAAATGTTTCTTCTACATTTGAAAAATTAATATGTCTATTAACTTTAGTTTGTTTATTCCCCATATGAACTAAATGAGTTACAGATTGTATTTAATAATTTGAAATACTTCATCAATTACATAATTTTATCGAATAACCTTTCTCTTTTTATTGTAATTTAAAAAATAAAAAGAATCTTTTGACAGGCACTTTTTCTGATTATTTCAATTATACTTCATATTTAAAGAATTATTCGATAAAAACTTGACAAACAGATATACTTTTTAGTTATTTTACAACGGCTTTTTCTTATACATAATGATTCCTTCTTTTTTTTTATTATTATTAAACAAAATAATATTAAATCAAATAGTCATTGTAGACTTAAAATAGATAGATAAAAAACAATGATAAATTTTAAAAAAGAAATCATGTGTTTGATAATTTAATAACAACATTTTTATATGAATACTCTTTTCTTTTTTTTTTATAAAAATATCTTACTTTGACGAAATAAAATTACAATAAAAACAGGAAGAATTAACATTTTTTATTCAATTAAACCCTTATTTTCAATATTTCTCCCTTACTTGTTGAGACTAAAAAGTAATCTTCGTAAGGAACGACATAAGTAAACTCTGAAGTGTAACCTTCAGGAATAATAACACTTTCTATAACTCCCCATTTGTTTGAACTCATTTTTAATAACAATCCTTGTGAAGTAACAAATAAAAACATGTCTGATTTAGCAGAAATTGCTGCTGAAATGACATTAGAAATATCCATTTTTTCATATGACATATTTGTTCTATCAATTTTATGAAACATTTCTCTTGAGACAACATAAAGATATTTCCCATTATTCCCAATAAATACACTTTTTACTTCAGTTACTTTCAGTGAAAGAGAAATATCTAAACACTTCATTGTGTCATAAGGAGTTGTTTTCTTATTATATTGAACGAGTTGAATAAAACCTGTTTTGGTGATAACAAAAAATAGAACATCATCATCAGCAGAATTACTTGGTAAAAATACAAATGAATGAATAGGTTCATTTAAACATGTTGAAAGTGAAATAAGTTCAAACTGTCTATTAGCTCGATAGACTTTTACTAACCCATTAGATGATCCAACCAATACGCTATTACAATCAAATGGAAATAATTCTAAACAAGTGATATATTCATTATTAGCTTGATTTTGTTGACCAAATGGAGAAACTTTCATAGCAGAACTACACTTATATAATTCACAATAACTTCCTAATGAAATAACTATATAACTCCCGGTCCTAGTAACAACTCCTCTAACATTATGGAATGACTTCTTTCCAGAAAAATCTAATACTTTTTTATCTTTAGGGAATGATGAAATATATGTTTTACCATCAACTTGTTTAAATAAATAGAAAATATCTTTTATTGTTTGAATCATTAAGTGTTTACCTTCATTGCTAATAGTAAACATTTTAATAATTCCTTTAACTTTCCAGAAATTAGTTATATCACAATTTGCAATATTTGAAGGAATATCAGGTTTTGTAATTTGTTCTGGAAAAATAATTTTATTTTTTGTAGGAATATCTTCATCTGGTTTTCTTTTAATTGGTTCAAGTTTTGAATAACTAATTGGTGTTACAGGACCAACTTGATTCATACAATTAGAAGAAGGAGTTTGTTCATTATACATAATTTCGAATTTAACATTAACATGTTCTTTAATTGTATCACTATTCCAATTAATTGGAATAACATTAAATTCTCTATAAAATATTCTTAATTGTGTAGAATTATCAAATGTACATACAGCTAAACAATTATCAGCAGACATTTTTTGAATATGTTCACAATTAATTCGTTGTTTAATTTGTTGTGTTTCAATTTCAATAATTTGAATATTTCCTTGTAAATATACAAAAACATTAGTATCATTTCCTGCAAGAATTGGTGATAAACTCTTTCTTGAATATATTTTTCTTATTTTCTCATTTGGCATAACAATATATCTATTATCATTAGAAACCATTACATTTTCATCAATAATATGATCAACTAAAATACTTAATTGTTGTTCTTTTGTAACTTTATTTGGTTTTCCAAAACAAGTCTTTAGTTTATGTAATAGTGTTGGATATACTACAATCACTTCTCCTTGTACCTGACTTGGTATTACTCCAATAGCTCCTTCATTTTCATAAATAACACTTTTATTAGCAAATTGATATACTTTAACTCCTTTTGAATCAACAATAGCAATTTGAGTTGTTCCACTAATTACTGAAATAGATTTGACGTTAGTTGCTGGAATTATTGCAAGTATTGAAAGACAATATCCAATGCATATAACTTTTACTTGTGACCCATTATAATAAACGACATATGATGATAATACAGAAACTAATGTTACTGGACTATTTTCTTTAATATTAAATAAAACTTCTCCATTTTCAAAGTCAATACAAGTAAAGTCTCCTGTTTTAAATCCAATATATGTTCTTGTGTCTTTAACATATAAACAAGAAATTTCATTTGAGTGTAATTGAATGTCAATAAATTTCCAATCAGAAAACTTACTTCCCTTCCTTACAATAGTTGACACTTTTTCAAGGTGTGTATGTTCTGGTTTAATTAAACTAACTAATCCAATTTTGTCATCAACACTACCTTGACATGTCTTGATATGATCATAACGAACTCCATTAGACACTAACTTCTTTAATGTCCCTTTTTGAATTTCTGGGAAGTTCATATATTCTTTGATAGTTGAACCTTTTTCTATTTCACTCATAATACAATTAAATAAATTTGTTATTACATAATTATCATATCCATCATAATTAATTTCATTTTTAGCTATAAGGTCATCATCAAAAAACAAATTAGAGAGTCTAGTAAGATATTGCTTTGTTACAATAGAACTTGGTAATAATTGAATTCTTTTCATACATTGAACAGCAGCTTTGAAATCTGCTTGCTTACATGAAATAAAAAAATTGATTTCTCTAATCAATTTAAGAACCATTTGATCTTGTTCATTTTGAGGACTAAAAAAGGTAAGTCATATATAAAAGAATTAATAAAAGAAGATAAATGAAAAAAGAAAAAAGGGTTGGTAAAAAGACAAATAAAAAATTTGAAATACCTTTTGGTTAACTTGTTATAAAAAAAATCTTGTTATATCTTATTTAAAAGATAAAGTAAATCAACGAATCACAACAAGAACAAACGATGTGAATTGAGTAATATATTCATCTAACTTAAAAAGGTCTCTTTGCATAATTAATTGTTTTATATATCCCTGGTCACAGTATAATTTTAGTTGAGAGGATATGTCAATGAATTCTTTGTCTCGTTTCTCTTCTCTTATATGATCAACAAATAAGAGTTCTAATTCACGTTCAAAATTCACTTTTTTATCCATTTGATTTTTCAGTTTCTCTCTTAGATCTTAAAATTTAAGATGAATAAAGTCGTGAGAAAGAAAGTATTGTTAATGGGAAGAAGTGGTTCAGGGAAAACTTCAATGAGAACAATTTTATTTTCTAATTATTTACGTTTGATATTTTCATTAATAAAGTTAGAAATAAATAAAAATTTACAATATAGCAACACAAACAAGACAATTACAAGTCACAAGTTTGTTTCTCACAAAAAAAATAATGAAGACAAAAAACATTTATTAAAAATTTGTAGTTGATGTTAATCATTCTCAAATTTCATTTCTTGGGAATTATACATTAAATTTATGGGACTGTGGTGGGCAAAAACAATTTATGGACATGTATTTAGGAGCACAAAAATCACAAACATTTAAAAAAGTTGAGGCATTAATTTATGTTTTTGATGTTACAAGTGAAACATTTGATAAAGACATTCAGGAATATCGAGCAGTATTAGAACGATTATATGAGTACTCTCCAGATGCTAAATTATTTACTTTAATACATAAAATGGATGTTTTTGAAGAAGACGAAAAAGGTTATCAATACTTACAAAAAGAAGGTAAAATCAAATTAGTTTCAAAGCCTTTTAGAGTGGTTAGTTATCCAACTTCAATTTATGATGACACATTATATTCAGCATGGAGTGCAATTACGTATAGTCTTATTCCAATGATTACAGAAGTTGAAGATAAATTAAATTCATTTTGCAATTTTATAGAAGCAGATGAAATTGTTGTATATGAAGCGAGTAGTTTATTAGTAATAAGTTATTCATCAAGAGTAGAATTTGATGAGTCACGAAGATTTGAAAATATATCAACTAGTATTAAAAGTTTTTATCATAGCTGTACTGATCTAAAGAAAACACAATTTAAAAATATTAGAGTTGAATTACCTGATAAAAAAGTATATTTTGATACATTTACTTCAAGTACTTTTATTATGGTAATATTTTCAAATCCTTGTTTAACGTTTACTAATGTTGCAATGAATGTTAAAGCAATTAGAAATAAATTTGAAGATTTAATTGGTTTCAAAGGAGATGATTACTAATTATTTGTTGAAATTAAATAATCTAATTTTAATTTAATAAAAACTTTATTAATAGTTGGTTTGTTTGTTTAATTTATCAACCAAAACTGGTGAAACATAACCACTAATACCAAAACTCTTCAAATGAAGTTCATGACAATTAACTATTGACCCAAAATAATCATTTATGTAAAGTTCTTTAAGAAAAGATGGAACAATTAATATTGATGTTGACCCACTAATAATTAATGATGTCACAGAAGTATATTTATCTAAATGAATTGTTTCTGAATAATTGGCATTTATTAAAGTAAGTGATTTTAGAGTATTTGGAAGTAATGGTTGTTGTTCTAAATTCCAAATAACAAGTTTAGTTAAGTAACTTTGATTTATTAAATCAACAGAAGAAGAGCTACAATCAATATCTAATACTTCAATATTTAAAGGAGGCAATTTTTGTGAAATTGTTTTGAGATATTTTAATGAAACAAGATATTGAGAATCAAATTCAATAGTATTCATATACGTTAATGAAGTAACTGTACTTAGTATCTCTTGATCATTTAAACCTCCACTAATTCCTAATTCTTTTAGGTTTAAAAGAATTGGAAAATGTGGGAGTGTTATAGTTTCTAAAAAAGTTAAGTTTGTAATAAATTCTGAAGGAATAAATTCACAACAACTTAATTTTCTTAGTGATGGTAATTTACATTGAATTGCATTGTATTGAACAATAGTTAAGGCAGTTAAATGAGAAGGGAAATGGAATGTATATTTAGACAATAATGTAGCATCAATTTCTTTAATAAAATAATAGTGTGATAAATCTAAATGAATTGGATTATTTGAAGAAGTAAATCTAATACTATTAGGATAGTAATTTTTCATTACTAATTCATTAATTAAGGAAGTAGATTGTACTGAAATTTTAAGTGGTTGAGAAGTACAAATCACAGAACCATCACTAGCATTATTACAAAATGATGAAACTAAATGAATTTTTGAAGATAACTTTAATTGAGAAATAACATTATATAATCTATAACTCGTTGATATGTCAATTACAACATTTTCTATATTATATTCATCTATTTCCTTTAAAAAATTAATGTCTATATCCCCTCTATATGATGAATATTCTAACAACTCAATTCTATGTGACTTATCTATAAATAACTGAGATAATGATAACCATCCAATTGGCCTTAAAACTAATCTCTTTAAAGAGGGATATTCTTTTAAACTACTTGGTATTTCTTCATCAATGAAGCTGTATTGACTAATTTTATTCTTTAATTTATTTAAAATGTGTTTTGGTAGTGGTGTTTCTCTTTCTTTAAATTCTAAATACATAATAGTTGATGGAACAAAGTCAAATTGATCAAATTCTTTCTCTACAACAAATGTTTGGAGTTGAGGAAAGAGTTTAAATTGTTTAACACCAATATAGTTTACTTGCCATTTTCTTTTAATTTTGTTTTTATCATATTTAAATAATGGTGATTTACGAACTATATTTAACACATCAAAACATTTCTTATTAATACTACTAAATGTTTCTACACTCTTAATATCATTCAAAAATAAGATAATATTGGCTAAGTATATTTCTTCTAATTGAACCATTTTTTTAATTTTTCAAGATGAAGAAAAAGTATTTTTGTTAAATAAAACGCAAATTAAAAATTATGAAACAAAAGTCAATTCATAAAGAAAAATTATGAAACATTTACACGTTATAACACGTTGTTTCAACGATAAGTTTAGTCATCAAAATTTGTCATGTAAAAATAAAGTAATTTAACAAATATTATAAAAATAAAAAAACAATTAAAAATAAAATGTCATAAAAAAGAAATAAAGAAGAGTCAAAAAAAAATATGTAACAAGAAATTGCAATAATTACTTATTTAAATGAAATTTCGAATTTTTATATAGTTTGATTAACAGAATAATGAACTGGAATAGTTGCACGGGTTTGAGGTTGTTGTGTATTATTTTCTTGTGCTTCTTCTCTAGCATTTTGAACTTGTCGAATTTTTTGTCTACATCTTTCACAACCATCAGCAATTTCAACTAATTGACAATTAATTCTTAAAACATCGTCATATTGTTTTCTTAACTCATCTAATTGCTGTTGAAGATTTAAAAATGCTTCTTTACTCTTTTGTCTACTTTTACGAGCACTTTCTTTATTTTTTAATTTTCTTTTGATTTTATTTAAAGTAGCTTTCTCAGACTTAGTGATAGTTCTTCTATCTTTTAATTCATTCACATAGTCTTCAAATTCTTCTACAGTCATAGAAGCAAGATCTTCTTCTGATAATAATCTATCATATGTAATGTTTTGAAACTTTCTTTTTCTTCTATGTAAAGGGGTATATGTCTGATCTGGGTATTGAGTTGTTGGAAATTGAGGTGGTGCTTGTTGTGGAAATTGAACTGACTGTGGAATATAAGGTGAAAATGAAGGGAAAGGAGAGTATGGAGTATTACTAGCAACTGGATTAAACGGTTCAGCTACTTTAACAGGACTAGAAGGTGCTTGTTCAGAATAAGGACTATTAACCAATGCCATATTTTGCTCTGGTATTGAGTTATTTGGTTCCATGATTTGGTTATTATTAGTTTTCTTTTCTATTAGTTATAAATAGATCATTTATGTTTCAAATTTATGTCATTTTTAAGGGTCCTTAAAAAGAGAAAATTTTCTCTTTTTGGTGTTGTATCACTTTTTAAAGATTTGTTCAATTCACTTAGTACTCCTGTATTTCTTGAAGCTATACTGTCCTATCTGTCGAAGGTGGCTTTCTAGTCTCTTGTTAATGAACTTCATTTAAAAGTTCAAAATGAACGTCACAACGACTGAACAACACGTGAGAAGAATGTGGCTTTTTATAAATTGTGTTATTTAATTTCTAAAAATGTTATTATTACTCATGAACTTAAAAGGAAGAAAAAGAAAATAATAAGATAAAGAATAAGAAAAGTATTCTAATAGTAAAAAAAAAAATAAAATTTTAAAAATAATGTTGAAAAATAAAAACAAAATGACAAGATAGAAAAAATAGAATAATCAAATCTTTAAAATCATAAAGGTATGATCAAGTTCTTATTAGTTGTAAACAGACAAGGAAAAGTTCGTTTACATAAATGGTATACATCTCATTCATTAAAAGAGAGAGAAAGAATTATTCGTGAAGTATCAAATCTTGTTTTAAAAAGAACAACAGCTGTAAGTAATTTTGTTGAATGGAGAGACTCTACTATTGTTTATCGACGGTTTGTCTATTCTTTTATTGATAAGAAAAAGTTAATTGAAATATAGTTATGCTAATTTATATTTTATGACATGTATTGATAAAGGAGATAATGAACTTCTTGCACTCGAAACAATTCATCGTTATGTAGTTATATTAGATAAATATTTTGGTAGTGTTAGTGAAATTGATATCATCTTCGATTTTGCTCGTGCGTATGTTGTTCTAGATGAAGTTATAAATGCTGGTGAATTAATAGAAGCTGGTCCTCAAATTGTTTTAAATGAAATTGAACAACAAGACGAACTTCATCGTTCAGATTTAGAAAAACGATAACTATTTTATCTCATTGAATTGGTTTGTATTGCCATTAGTTAGAGCATTGAAATTAAATTCTTTCTTTTATTCAATCCTTTTTTGGGTTTTTAAACAAAAATGGATTTATTTCATTTAATTAATTTTCCTTTAAAATTGATAATTTATAACACAATTTTTTTTAAAACAAAACCATTAATCTCCATCACACTTATCTTAATATTCAACGAAACAAAGTAACACTGCATAAAGAATTGCACATACTGATGTTATGATTATAACATTTTTTGTATTACTTTTTGAAATAGTTTCAACTTGGTTTTGTGGTAAATCGCTATTCTCTTCTACTTGGCATTGTCCTGATGGGTTATAATTCTCTAACTCTTTTTTACTCTTTCCAATTTTGATCTCTTTAGGAGGTTGGTGTGTGAGTTCATCAATTCCATAAGGATTAATTTTTTGATTGATACAAGTTTTTTCACTAGGAGGTTGTAATGTTGAAACACTCATTGATTTATAAGTTCTATTTTTCTTCTATTAAAAAGACTCAAAAATGTTTTTCATATCAAATAATTATTTCTTTTTTATTTTGTACTTATATGAAAATAAATACGTTGATTGAAGATATGACTTTATCATTCTATTTATTTAGTATGTTAAAGAGTAATAATTAAAAGTACTTAAACCTACTTTATCAGAAATCATTTTTTCTTTAAATTTTAATACTCATCATTCACTTATTGCCTCAAACACCAACAACTGTTCCATATCAAAGTTGTAATTTCCACACAGTGCATTTTTAGCTCCACAATACTCAAACCCATTTGTTCCACAATAATTCTTTTTTCCAGTACTACTTTTTATAATTGCAATATCGGACTTCTCCGGCCAACGAACACTATACCCAAACGTCAAAAGCCATTCATTTTTACAACTAAACATAACAAATTTTTGGCTGCCATTACACTCAAACCGAGTTGGAGAATTAAACCTACCATTTGAATCTAATACAAATAGAAACATTGTGTCACTGTGAATACAATAATCAAGCTCATCAATAGTTTTATCAATGTATCCACCAAAGATATTTTCATCACTATCAAAAATTATAAAGAATAAATTCTTTTTGCCAATAACCAATTGTTCAAGTCTAGATACTTTATTACGAACAATTTCTTCTGTCAATGAATCATATATTAATTTCATATCTTTTTTCTGACTCCATTCACATAAAATATTTTTAAATGATTTAATACGTTCATCAGCAAAACACATTTTTTTATTTCCTCTTTTTTTACTTACTATTTCTTGAATATTTGTTTTACTCATTTTCGTAACTAAATTAATCTTCTCTTGGTATTTAACATTGACTGACTCTACTTCCTTATCTTTGTCCTCTTTTATTGCTGACTTTTTTTCTTTTTCTTTTTTTATTTTATCCTCTATTTCTTTTATTTCATCACCTATTTCATCTAGTCCATTTTTTTTTTCCTTGTCTATAACTTGTTTCTTTTTTTCTTCAAGTTCTGTTAAGTTATTTTCTATGTGGATTTCTTCTTCTCTTTGGTTATTTCTTATTCTACTAATTTCTTCTTTTTGTTCTTTATTAAGTTCATCAATTTTCTTTTCTTGTTTTTTAATTTCCATTTTTTCAATCCGGTAGATAAGGTAATTGTACCA